AGTTAAGTGGACTATAGTAAAACGACGAGTTAATTAGAATTGTTTAAGCCAGTTGATTTCAAATTCACATTTATTTTCTGAAATGTTGCTATTCTATTCTTCAAGGTGTTTTTTTGACATCTACTTTAGAAGTTTGGTTATATCCTGAAACCTGAAATCACATCCTAACTGATTTTTATTGAGTCTGCTAAAAATTATTAGCTATTTCAGCTAATTTGAATATTAATGTAAAAAGTTGACTTGAGAAGACGCGTTAAAATCGCTGACGTGTTTTGACTTGCTAAAATGTACATTTTTTTTTACTGTACTTTTGAATGATGTTCTAAATGTATTTTAATTTGGCTTTGTATTTATATGGCCAATTTGGGGTATGGTTCTGTATGGTTTTTGTAATAATGTTGTCATAATGGGAGCTGCAGTGTTGTGCAGGTATCAAAGAGCTTCCCAGTTTTCATGTTACCAAACTTAGAAATAATTTTCCTAAGCACCTAATTTTTAGCTCCTTATTTTAACGGTGGTGATTCTTAAACTTTACAGGAGTGAATACCCAGTAGTTAAGGATTGAAAGTGGACAGTGGCATACCAAATTGAGATTGACTGGAACTCTGTGGGAACTCTTTGTTTTCCTTTCACTTCTGTGAGTTCAAATATAATTTAAATCATTTAGAATTAGAGTACTGAAGTGAATTTTTTTTTTCAGAGCATATAAATACAATTTATCTTTACTTTTTCATTATTTTTCTCTGGATACTTACATAGTTTCTTCTGGTGTGTAGCTGAAATCATGTTGGAGCTTTATTAGTAGTTTCAGGAACTTGGACATTTGTATTAAACCTTACCTATTTTTAGTCATCCCGGGAAGGTAATTCCAAAGTTTGAATTGATGATGATTCTTATTTAAATCAGTAGTTTTCAAACTGTTGCAAATTAATACTAGCAGATAGGAAAAGGCTGGCTGAGCTGGAGAAAATTTAACTTGCTTGCTTAAACTCCTTGAGACTTGGAGCCCTTATGATGCCAATTAGCATTGTGACGTTTTAAAGATGCCCCTTAATACGCAGCATATCCCAAACCTGGTTTTTGGGACACCTGAATTACTAATTCAGAAATACTGTCTAAGATCTAAGGGCAGGGTTGACAAACTGATGATATTTTTGTGCAGCCTGGAAGCTAAGAATATTTTTTATATTTTCAAGTGGTTGGAAAAGAATCAAAAGAATCATTTCATGATGTGAAAATTACATGTAATTCAAATTNGCTGGAGAAAATTTAACTTGCTTGCTTAAACTCCTTGAGACTTGGAGCCCTTATGATGCCAATTAGCATTGTGACGTTTTAAAGATGCCCCTTAATACGCAGCATATCCCAAACCTGGTTTTTGGGACACCTGAATTACTAATTCAGAAATACTGTCAAAGATCTAAGGGCAGGGTTGACAAACTGATGATATTTTTGTGCAGCCTGGAAGCTAAGAATATTTTTTATATTTTCAGGTGGTTGGAAAAGAATCAAAAGAATCATTTCATGATGTGAAAATTACATGTAATTCAAATTTCAGTGTCCATAAATAAAATTTTATTGGAGCACAGCATTCTTTTTTTTTTTTTTTTTTTTTTAAGTATTGTCCTTGGCAGGCTACAACGACAGAGTTTTCAGTAGTTGTGACAGACTGTATTGCCCCAAAGCTCCGTATTTGCTGTCTGGTCATTTATAGAAAAAGTTTGCCCACCCCAGTCTAGGGTATCAGTAGTGAGGACTATAATACCCTTGGATATGGGGGTTGGGGGGGGAGTGGATGATGAGAAGAGGTAAGGGGAATGGGGGAAAGCATTAAATATAGTTGGGGAAATGAATGGCTCTAGTAGCTGCATCAATGCTCATCCTGGTAAGTTAGTTGAAAACAAATTGACAGTGTTATATCATTCTCAACTGGTTTTTGAAACATTGCATAATATTACCAGTTAGCAAAAGATTGTCATGAGATTCCCAAGAAGAAATATTTTAATAAAACCAAAATATTGTGCAACATTGCAAAGAGACTGGCAGTCAAATCCAACACACTGTTTTCAAAATTGTGCAGTGAATGAATGATTTGAAGAAATCCTTTTATGGATATCAACCTAATTGTTAGTTTTTAGGAACATTCATACACATTGTTTATGACTTGGCACCATTACTGTAGTATGCCTTAGGAATTGAGTTGGATGAAGAGTTAAATTCCTTTATAAGAACTCATTTGCTGGATATTTGCCATTAAAAACGGAAACTACAGCTTATGAATGGGGAAAGGTTTACAGGAATATAGATTGTTCACTAGACATTGATGCATGCCTGCCAACAGGAGGCACCAGCTGGCTTAAACGAAATATAAATGGTTCTAGGCAAACAAATGAGATGTCTATTGGAGG